TTTGGAAAATTCTGAGCTTCGAAAGTGGCTCGCGGTCGACCGCGAGATTTTCACGGTCGACCGCCGTTCACTCCAACGGTCATTTTGTACAGAATTTGATTTCCGATTCTGTTGGTTTTTTGGTCATTTCTGTTGGACTTTTGGCTGAGATTTTGGGAGGCTATAAATACCCCATTGATCTCAGTTCTCATGGCAATCCAAGAAGTTTTTAAATAAGAGTTTAGCAAGGGTTTAAGTTTGTTTAGTGTTTGTTTAAAAAAGTCTTGTTTGTGAAGAAGTTTTACACAAGTGGAGGAGATCATCTACATTCTTTGGGCTTTATTTTAATCCATCTCTCCATCTTGTCTTTCAGAGAATAATTTCTAAACTCAACACTAGCTTTGTATTAATTCTTTGTTGTTTATCATTTTCATTAAGCTAGTATTTTCAATTGAGTTTAGTTGATTTGATTTCACTCATTGTTTACACACACCCACTTGAGCTTATTATATTTGCATACATCATATATTTGGGGTGGTGAGAGTTGTAATAATTAAGCGTGAGCTTTCATTGTGTTTTCATCCATATTAGAGAACAATCATTTATTATAATTGTGCTTATTGTGAGATTTACTTTGTAATACACTTGTACACCGAGAGAAGTGTGTGGCGAGAGTCGGGGATCGTCCCAAGAGGAGTGGCGTCGGTTGACAAACCTAGGGAGAGGTTGTATCCGAGCACTTGAGGGAGACACGTCTAGTTCAACACTTGAGAGGGTGTAGAGTGGGATTACAAGAGTGTGTTAGTTGTAGAGTTTTCGGTAAACTAGAAAACCGTATTGTGTGGTGTAAATGTTATTCGCGTAAACGTAAAAAACCAAGTTGTAATAGTGGAGATCTCCTCAAGGTGAGGAGCGGAGACGTAGGTCAAGTGGTTAGACCGAACTCTGTGATCATATCATTTTGTTTATGATTGCATTGGCGTTCTTATTCTTGTATTCATATCTTATATCGCCTTTGTGTATTGCTCTTCATATTGCCCTATCTCTTTTGTAGATTGTTTATTTTACCCTTGTGTTAGTTTATATATCCTTGCTCATATATTTGTAATATCTCATTGCTAGGATATATTCATTTGTTCAAATTGCTTATCCTAGCTCATGTATCTTGTTGTATTTCACACTTGCTAGGATAACTTGTTAATTAATTTTAATTGGCATTTAATCGGATTAGATTAGCATAAGACCCTAATCACCCCCCAACCCCCCCTCTCTAGGGTCTAACACTAATCATGATAGATTTCTAATACCCGTTTGGAGAGGCGGATCTGGAGGAGGAGGAAGAGAGGCCTTCTTTGAATTGTTGTTGATCGAGCTCGTGTTCTTCATTCACCCCGATCTTGAGTGCTGGTTGCGTCACGACGGCGTCGGTTGCGATGTCGTTGGCTCCCACTGTGGTCGCCAGCTTGTTTTCGGAGAAAGTCGCTGTATTCATTGCTGCATTCATTACAACTTTGATCGTTACAATGAAACAAAAATGAGAATATTAGATAATATAAATATGAGTATAACAATAACTAAAAGTTAACGTGAATATGAGTCAAACTACAACTAAAATTTTAATGGACATATTACAAGTAAATTCATATGCAAAATTCCTTTACGAATTGGATGATCACGCATCTTTTGAAGACTTCAATATACTAATAAATAGAGATGTTGTACTAGATTAATGTGTTTATAACTCACAAATATTTGATCACGTGGTCATAGTCTAGGTTGAAGGAAACAATGATAATATTTTATTTGAGAGAGATCATTGAGTTAATGATCATTCTCACAAAACACTTTGTTCTCTTTTATTATTTTTACTATACTTTTATCAATTTAAATAATCATGATATTCAACCATGTGCATTGCACGTGCATCTCAACTAGTGTGTGTGTGTGTGTGTGTAGGTTGAGGATGAAGATGAGGTGATATTTTCTGGTGAGTTTTTAAGCTTTTTAGTTTTGCTTTAATGTTTACCCTAGTAAAAGATTACTTGCACTCGGATTGGAAAAAAACATTGTCTTTAGGAGATCCTATAATATCACCCTTACCTAAAAATTTAAGAAAATTTGATGATTCGCTAGTTTTGTTATTGATCAAACTAGCAATACACGTGAATTGGTAGGGTAGTTAATTGGAAGGCTTACACGTGAAGAATTGTACGTGTTTAACAAACACACAAAATCGTTAAAAAAAACACCGCCAGAAAAGAGCCGAAAATTTTTTGGATTGGCAAATATTAGGAGATGTATTAGCAAATATTAGGAGATACTATTGATGAGTAGTAGAGGATCTCAATCCGAAAAAAGAGCCGAAAAATTTCATGAAAAAAATGAAGCTCTAAAAAAACTAAAGATTTGATACTATTGATACTATTGATGAGTAGAGGATCTCAATCCGAAAAAATTGGTGCAAGAAATTTCATGAAAAAAATGAAGCTCTAGAAAAACTAAAGATTTGATAGAATAAATTTTAGAAAGAGA